GTGCTACCAAATCATAGCTCCTTTTGATAATGTTTCTCCAAACTTTTTTAGCAATAATGATACGATCTCATTGTCGTTCAAGTCATTTCCCTTGATCCCGCAAGTGTATGAAGTAATATGCTCGTTAGGGTCGGTTGTCCCGTTATACTTGGGTATATCGGGCATGCAAAACTTTTTAGGGATAGGCATCGGATCGGGCTTCTCTGCGTACACTCCCTCCGGGGTCTGTGTCTAAATCTGCGTCCAAAGCAATGTGTGAACTGACATCAACTGGTTCAGCATTTGGCACTTCCCCAGGGTTTATCTGTGGTACACTGACCCCTAAATTATTGTTTTCCCCATGAAATCCAAGACCTTCGTTGTCATGAACAAGTGCATTTTGCGAGTTTGACATGTTTAATACTGAGAATCAAAATATCTTGACAAGAAAAAGCGTAAAAATAATGTGTGTAATGAGAATCAGTAAAGAAATAATCACCATTATCTTTAGCCCCACGGTGGGCGCCAAACTGTTTACCTCGAAAATATGAGTAACAATTAAATTTGATTTGCGGTTTTAAAGATATGTGATTTAGTTCAATAGTAATCAATAACCAAGAAATAGAAAGTAGAAACGAAAGAAATAAGTGAATCAAACCAATGTTACTCAGCAGTAGTGACCTCGAGCTTAGTGACCTCGAGACGAACCAAGAACAATAAAATAAGAACAGTAAAGAGAAAAGACAATTCTGATGAACAGTATGCGAAAAGTAGAGAGTATATTCTTTGTCAATGATTAGATGATATTACAAATGATTGGGGTCCCCTTTATATAATAGGGGAACCCTAAATATGGTACATTTCTATTTACAGTAAGGAATATTATTAGTACAATTGTCTAACCGCCTAGTACAGAATCGTACAATCCTATTCCGGGATTTGCGCCATGATCTTGGGGACGTGGCAGGAATCTAGCTCATTCTGTTACAAATCCATAACGGTACAATTTCGGGGTCGAGCATACTTAACTTCGGTATTCCTTGCACTCCTATCTTCGGGCATTGCATTCTGTCCTCGATCTCGAGTCTAGTCAGTCGACCTCGAACTCGAACTTACTTGAACTCGGACCTAAGGCGATCCCTCGAACCTGGAAAATCGGGTGTGCCTGATTTTGACCGTATACAATTATAAAAAGGTTACGTTTGGCTGTAGGAATACTATTAGTTCCTTGTGTGAAAAAAGAATACTACTACTTGTCGTCATTTTGGCAAACTACATATATGATATAACTATTTTCGGTTTTAATATAACTTATAAGTTGTTTTGGCAATTTGCATACTGCAATTTTCGGTTTCTAATAATTAGTCATTTTTGCAAACTTCATTCGTCTCAAGATATTTGAAATTTTAGTCATTAATGAATAATTAATTCGGCGAGATGTTTAAAAAGACATAAAAAATAATTTTTTACAAATATTCTTATTACTAAAGTTAGTACTCCTACTATATCTTTCTTTAGCTGGGTTTTCTCAAATATTTTCTTTTATTATTTCAGCTACTACTAAAAACTATGCTTTATATTACTTTTCAGATATTCAATATGTAAAACTTTATTAAATAACACAACTTAGTATTCAAACTGTTATTAAAAATAAAATAGGCGTGTCAATTGTTGGAAGTGCGACTCAATCACTTCTCTTTGAAGGAGAGCATGTTACAAATTTTTCTCCTTGGTAACACTTTTTTTTTTTGTTTCTCATCTAATACTGTTCGGTATTTATATTGAGGCCCGATTAATCTGGATTCGCATTGGAAAGTCCTACATTGGAAGGTAAAATACTAAGTATCTAATAAAGGTAACTTCATGTCCAGGACTCGAACTCGAACCTGAAACCTTAAGTTAAGAATAAAAGAATACTTATCACTCCACCACAACTCTTATCAGTGAACTGCGAACTATAATAATGATAGAGTTTTTGGACGATAGATACAAGTCGTGACCGGACCATACTTTCTCTATTATCTCCAGGCTTCAGAGCAAGTTGCTTGGGAATAATGATATCAGTGATGCAGAGGAAAATGATGCTCTGATCTATTACCGAGAGTATTTTTGTTGTTGGCAGAAAGAATATATATGTCTTTGAGACTTGTATTCAGAGGGTGACAAAATTAAAGGTGCCGCTGCGCCTTAAATTTCTTTACTAAAATAAAAGGATAGTACTATTAATTTCATTTGCAGTTGCACAGGAATTTTACCAGCCTGAAAATGAACGGTTCAATTTTTCGAATTTTATGAAAATGGTGTTCATATCTACGAGCCTTACTTTTCCTTTTTATATAAATTTATTTTATGACGAATTTGCTCCTCAATTTTGTCTTGTCTAATCTCGTAATTATAATTTTGACTACGGAAAAGGTCTAAAAATGTCATTATATTACGGGAAATAGAGCAATAATGCCCCTCGTTAATAGTAGGGTTCAAAAATATCATTGCCGTGATTGAGTTGGCCCAAAAATGCCACTCCGCACTAACGGAGTCAGATTTGACTTAAATAAAGTTAAATAAAAATAATAAATGCTACCATGAACACACTAAGGTAACCCAACAACAGAAAAATGATGACCAACTAAAGGAAAATTTTTGTCCTCAACTTTGCTACTTTCCAGCATTAACAATATCAACGTATAGTCTCAAAATCAGCTTCCTTCTTCCTCAAAATATTTCTCCAATCTGAAGAGCATCGTTTACTTTTTTAATTCAGAGAAGAAATGGAGAAATTGAGAAAGATGACCGAAAAATAATTGAAACAATCAGATATTTTCTTGTTTAATTCAGAGAAGAAATTGAGAAAGATGATCGGAAAATAAGCTCTCAAACTAAATCAAAATTGAAGAAGCCACTAAAGTTTTTAGGGTCACCGAAAACCTAGCCGACGCAATTGGGGTAAGGGAAAGAGATTTGAGCGGGTGATTTAGTGGGCGAACGGACATAAGAATTGTAAAATTCCCCCCAAAAAAAGCGAAAAATTTTTTCAAGTGAGAATGGTATTTGAAAATTAGAGTTGTATTTGGACATGAACATTATTTTGGGTTGTTTTTGAAGTTTTGTGAGTGATTTGAGTGAATTTTGAAAAACAGTTTTTTGGAGTTTTTCGAATTTTCGAAAAATTTCAAAATTCATCTTCAAGTGAAAATTGAAATTTATAGCCAAAACACTGATGTCGAGAAAAAAGTGAAAAAATATCGGGAAAAAGTGAATTTTGTTTTTGTGTCCAAACGGGCTCTAAAAATATAGACTTTGGATCCTTAATTACATGGGGTTTGGTAAAAAACGGGTGGGGTGGGGAGGGGATATGTGAAAACGGGGCGGATCCAATTCATTGGCAAAAGAAAAATCTATCGTTTTAACACTCAGACCCATAATCATTGACGAAGAGGAAGGCTTGGAAAGGGATCAAACATATTGAGGAGGAGTTTTCACAAAGGCCAATATTTTAGAGTCCGGTAGGTCAATTAAGTTGCCTAAATCTCTTCCTTATCTGCTGCTCTGTAGCTGCCTTCCTCGCTTCGTCTTCGGCGAACGACGACATAAAGGTTCCCCAAGTCATCCATGGCGGCCGGGCAAGCTCCCCGTCGAGCTGCCGATTTCCCTCCTATCCTAATGACAAAAGCGGAAAAGGGGGATACCCCATAGACCAAAAGGGCATAGATCGATAAGATCCAAGAAAATAAAATACCCGCAGCAGAATCGGGTAGGGGGGATTTAATTATGATAGGTATAAATTTTTTAAATTTAAATCAGATTTCAAAGGCTTAATTAAGTCAAAATCTGAGTCCGTTAGTGCGGAGTAGCATTTTTGGGCCAACTCAATCACGGCAATGGCATTTTTGAACCCTACTATTAACGAGGGGTATTATTGCTCTATTTTCCATAGTACAATGATATTTTTGGACCTTTTCCGTTTTGACTATCATCAAGAAATTAGGAATTAAGTCGTAATTATATCTTTGACTATCATCAAGATATTAGGAATTAATTCTCACCAAAATGCGAATATTCAAAGACTCAAACAGTTTCCTTGTCTCCTAGGAAAAGCCAACTGATACGGTACATAACATTAATATCTGTCAATCTATATTATCTGCTATCCTTTTAATAATGGTATACATTCAAATCCAAACAGTTAGTTAAGAAACTAATTAAGCTCAAAGTAACAATACGAAATAATAAAATAGACAAGAGATATAGAGAGGAAAGAGAGGAGAGATTCTTATTTCTTTCATTTATTCAATTGTGTTCAATGTAATGCCCAAAATCTCTATTTATAGGATGATATTTAGGGAATTAATGCAAAGAGATGTCATGAACATGGTATTTACTATTGAGATCATGGGAACATCATATAGTGTGGGAGTTACAACCATAATAGAGAAGTAGTGGGAGCTTAATGAAGAAGAGTAGTGTGATGGAATTCGACCTCACTCTCACCATTTCAGCTTCTCAATTTTAACAGAGAAAAGAGTAAATGAAGAAGAAAGAGATGAGTCAAGTTCGGAGTCTTCGATGTATTTGGCAAACATTATCAGACAAGGTCAATTTAAAGGTTTGATAGATAAGGAGCCACCTGTTCACATCACAAGGCTTGATAAATGTTTTGATGGATTAAATCGGGACCATCCGATTAGAATCCAAGGAAGACTGAATAAATGATGAAATCTGGAAGCATCCTACACGGTGGAAACCTCTCTACACGTGAGAGGAATAATAGTTAGTTAGGTTTGTTATTTTGTAGCCAATGTAATTAATACACATAGGATATATATATTCTTATTTTTTCTTTTTCTTTACCAGATATAGTTTGTATTTATACACAATCCCTGTACAGATTCATTCATTCAATTAAAAATGAAAAACACAGAAAATTTTCTCAAGTCTCGTCTCTGATTTCCAATATGGTATCAGAGCATTAGAGTTCTTCTCTAATTGTTTCTTTTCCAATCTAAGCTTTCATCATCATCATCATGGCACCTTCTTCAACTGTTGATGATACATCTACGGGAACAACTGTTGTCTCCATTGATGCAACTCATCCTTATTTTCTCCATGCCTCCGATGCTCCAGGAATGGTTCTGGTCAATACCCCTTTTGATGGACGTGGTTATCCTGGATGGAGGAGATCTATTTTGATCTCTCTTTCAGCCAAAAACAAGCTGGGGTTCATCGATGGGTCATGTCCAACCCCAGCTCTCACTGCCACTGATTTCAAAACCTGGAGCAGATGCAACGACATGGTTACATGCTGGTTGTTGAACTCTCTCTCCAAAGTAATAGCTGACAGTGTCCTTTACTTAAAGACTGCAAAAGACCTTTGGATAGATCTGGAGCATAGGTTTGGTCAGCCTAATGGTGCTAAGCTGTATCACCTGCAAAAAGCTCTCGCAGATTTAGTTCAAGGTTCACTTGACATAGCTGGTTACTTCACAAAAATGAAAGGATTATGGGATGAGCTGGACACTCTCAACAGCAATAGGATCTGCTCTTGCGACTGTAATTGTGGTGGAAAACAAAAAATGTTGCAATTCAAAGAAAATGAAAGGCTCATTCAATTCCTTATGGGATTGAATGAGGCCTATGGACCAGCAAGAAGTAACATCCTAATGATTAACCCTTTACCAACCGTTAACCATGCCTATTCCCTATTGATGCAAGATGAGAACCAAAGAGAGATACATGTCAACACACACTTCTCAGGAGATGGTTCTTCATTTCTGGCAGGAAACACACAGCATACTACACAACTATCTCCAGGAAATCAGTTCTTCACACAGCAGAAAAATGGAAGCACTGCTAACAAAGGAAATAATGTCTACAAAGGAAAGAGAAATGTCCAGATGTGTTCCTATTGCAAGATGACCAATCATACAGTTGAAAATTGTTATAGACTCATAGGTTTCCCAACCAATTTCAAGTTCACAAAGACTAAGAAATTTCAAGGTCCTGTGAGGGGAAATTCTGCTGCAGCTATGGATCAACCAGAGGGAGCTAATAACAATATCACTGAAGGTCCTCAGTTTGCACAACAATTGTCATCAGAACAATTCACTCAGCTGGTTTCTCTCCTAAACCAGATTCAAGTGGGAAAACCTGCTGAAGTTAATGCTAACTCAGCAGCTGGTATATTCCTTACAAACTCTGTCTCTTGTTATTCCTTAGCTAATTCAAATTCAAGTTCCCGGATCATAGATTCTGGAGCATCTGAGCATATGTGCTTTAATTCTGAGTCTTTCCAATTTCTGTTTCCCCTTTCTACTCCATTACTTGTCAAGATACCTAATTCTTCAAAGGTAAGAGTCACTCATGCAGGGAATGTTTCTCTTTTTCCAGGGTTAGTTTTAACTAATGTTTTATATATTCCTTGTTTCCGATATAATCTACTTTCTGTTCATAGACTTTGTCAGAGGTTCAAATGTCTTTTAGCATTCACTTCTTTTGGGTGTATTTTGCAGGGCCCTCTCATGAAGAGCCCCCAAGTTTTTGGTAAAGCTAAGGATGGTCTTTATCTTTTGGAGCCTAGTATAGCAAAGTCTAGTAGTCTCTCTTCAGCAGTTGTAGTTCCTTTACCTAAAAAATGTCATTCTCATTCTGTTTCAGTTAGTTTACCTATTTCTGCAAGAACAAAATCTGATGTAAAGTTATGGCATGTAAGAGTGGGGCATTTGCCTTTTCAAGCAATGAAATACATCAGTTCTATTTCATTTCTGCCCAATCTTGTTTGTTCTTGTGATATATGTCCTTTAGCTAGACAATCTAAGTTGCCTTTCCCAATCAGTCAAATCAAATCTAAAGGCATTTTTGATTTAATACACATTGACACATGGGGCCTTTTCGAGTTCCTACTTATAACGGATATAAATATTTTCTCACGATTGTGGATGATTTCAGTCGAGGAACTTGGACCTATTTGTTGAGCACTAAGAGCAATGCATTTCCAGTTTTAAAATGGTTTCTTAGTATGGTGGAAAGATAGTTTGCTTCAAAGGTTAACGTTATAAGATCAGATAATGCTCTAGAATTAGGGAAGGGTACAGTAGAATCTGCATTTCTGATTTCACAGGGCATTTTACATCAAAGATCATGTGTGGCCACACCTCAACAGAATAGGCTTGTTGAGAGGAAGCACAGGCACCTTCTAGAGATTGCTAGAGCATTACTGTTTCAATCTAAGCTTCCTATTTGCTACTGGGGAGAATGTATTTTGACTGCTACTTTTCTTATCAATCGATTTCCTTCTAGGGTTCTTCAAGGAAAAACTCCTTATGAACTACTGTTTTCTGAGCCACCCTCTTATCATTTTCTTAAATCTTTTGGATGTTTATGTTATGTTTCCACTTTATCTCACAACAGGAGCAAATTTGAGCCTAGGGCAAAGGCTTGTGTCTTCTTAGGATATCCTACTGGGCAAAAGGGATACAAAGTATTGGATGTGGAAACTAAGAAGGTTTTTGTTTCAAGGGATGTCAAATTCTGTGAAGACATCTTTCCCTTTTCCTCTTCCTCTTCTGACACTGCTTCACTTTTGTTTCCCTCCCCTGCTCCCTCAGATAATTCTGCCCCATCTGCACTTTTTGATTCTACTCCTATCTCACACCCCAGCTCACCTCCCTCACCTGTACATTCTCCATTACCCTCACAGCCTGCTTCCCCACCTACTTCTCATATTTCTCCCATATTACCTAATCCCATCTCTCCTTCTCCACTATTCACCCAGGCTGTTGGGCTCAGAAGGTCTCAGAGACCCAATTTAGGTACTAAGCGTAATCATCTAAAGGATTATGTTTGCAATAACATTTACCTCACTGATCTTACCACCTCTTGCCTTGCTACTCCATCTACACCTCCTGTCTTTTCTTTTCATGCTCTCTCTACTCAAAGTCAGCATATTCTCAATTCTCCTTCACCTATCATAGAACCTACTAGTTATTCCCAAGCTAGTTCTCATGCAGGATGGAAACAAGCAATGGATGCAGAGATTGAGGCTTTAGAATCTAATCAAACATGGGATGTTGTTATTCTTCCTCCTGGAAAGAAAGCTTTACCATGCAAATGGGTCTATAAGGTGAAATAACATGCAGATGGGAGTATTGAGAGACTTAAAGCTCGACTAGTCATCAGGGGTGACATACAAAGAGAGGGCATCGATTACACTGAGACATTTTCTCCCGTCGTCAAAATGACTACTATCAGGTATCTTCTCTCGGTTGCTGTCAAAAAGGGGTGGATTATTTCTCAGTTTGATGTTAGCAATGCATTTCTACATGGGGACCTGCAGGAAGAAGTTTACATGAAGTTTCCTGCAGGTCTGTCCCCGCCTAGTCCTCACCATGTCTGCAAATTAAAGAAATCCCTCTATGGCCTTAAACAAGCCTCGAGGCAATGGTATGCACGACTTGTAAGGGGCTCTTAACTTTAAGGGTTTTTCTTCATCTCTTAATGATTATTCCTTATTTTTCAAGAAGACCGGTGATTTCATTTCTATTGTTGCTGTCTATGTTGACGACATTCTCATCACAGGCAATCATCCTAGTGAACTTTCTAAGCTCAAATCATTTTTACATTCTGAATTTAAGATTAAGGACCTTGGTCGTTTGCACTATTTCTTGGGTATGGAAATTTTAACAGAAAAGGAGGGGCTCATTGTCACTCAAAGGAAATTCACAGAGGAATTACTTACCGAAATTTGACTGCCCTGATCTTCCAATTGTTTCCTCTCTGCTGGAATTACTTACCGGAACCCTGTTTTTCACGAACGAACTAAGCACGTTGATCTCGACTGCCATTACGTACGCCAACAGTTCCTTTCTGGGTTGATCTCTATCTCATTTGTTCCTTCCCGCTCACAGCTTGCTGATTTATTCACTAAACCTTTGTCCGGCCCTTCACACAAATCCATTCTTGGCAAGTTGGGGGTTTCTTCGATTCCCTCCAACTTGAGGGGGGGGGTGTTGGAATTCGACCTCACTCTCACCATTTCAGCTCCTCAATTTTAACAGAGAAAAGAGTAAATGAAGAAGAAAGAGATGAGTCAAGTTCGGAGTCTTCGATGTGTTTGGCAAACATTATTAGACAATGTCAATTTAAAGGTTTGATAGATAAGGAGCCACCTGTTCACATCACAAGGCTTGATAAATGTTTTGATGGATTAAATCGGGACCATCCGATTAGAATCCAAGGAAGACTGAATAAATGATGAAATATGGAAGCTTCCTACACGGTGGAAACCTCTCTACACGTGAGAGGAATAATAGTTAGTTAGGTTTGTTATTTTGTAGCCAATGTACTTAATACACATAGGATATATATTCTTATTTTTTTCTTTTTCTTTACCAGATATAGTTTGTATTTATACACAGTCCCTGTACAGATTCATTCATTCAATTAAAAATGGAAAACACAGAAAATTTTCTCAAGTCTCGTTTCTGATTTCCAATATAGTGGGAGTAACTTCTTTAAGAGTTATAGACATCCATTACATAATATAATATTTCATAACACAATTATATTTTTCGCTTAAATTTATTTATTTTTCAATCAAAGGTAGATATTATATTAATGTAGTGAGTAAACAAGTTGAGTAAAGGTGCGCGTAGCATACTTTGCAACCCAAATTGGGAAAAAGTTCTCCCAAGATACTTTCTTCAACAAATAGAAAATGTGGCCAAGTATGTGCTAGTGTGTTCGGTAAATGATGAAGAAATAAAAAAGAGTTTGGAACAATTTCCTTCTCCAAATTCCTCACTTAAATTTAGATATAAGATAGGGAACACTCTGATTTAGTTAATTATTACGTATTAACAGCTAGTACGTCGTTGCTGAAACTCAAGATATACGGAATGTAAGTGCGTAATTTATGAAGTTTCTTAATCAGTTAGCTTAATATAAATTCATAGATTCTGATTAGAAAATGAAAATTTCCAAGACAACTTGGAGACAATAACAAATAAGCAGTAAATACTGAAATATAAAGTATGTAAAATGAGGTTTGAACTTTAAAAAGGAGAACTAGTAATGTAGGTGAGATATTATGGGTAAGTGAGCTCAGGTAAACGATCGGAAAAACTCTGGTAAATGTATTTTGACACGACAAACAAAATTAAATACTAAATATAGACTCTCGTTGGGTGCTTATATTGTTTTTCAAAGATATTGTCGGTGCGTGACATCATGAAATAACGACAAACAATACAATCTATTTAAACATTGTATTCATCAAACAATATAATACTATGCAGTACAATACATTATAAAATGACATGTAACAACAACCCAAAAAACAAGGTGTAAAGCAAAGATCTTCTTATGAGTTGGTACGTGGATGTCATAATTAAAAGGCACATGTCAAAAGTAACCAAAATTTTCATGACAATTTGGAAGTATAAACTGTTAGAGAAGTAACAGAATATACGAAATAATTAGGCCTTGATGGTGTAGTCACTATCCTTAAGGAATTTAAGCCTCCTAATTTCGTTGCTCCAGGGATTATAGCAGAATTCCTCCAGGATTCTACAAAGCCTCTGACATTCGAGTTTCAGCAATTAACTCGAATTTCCTACAAAAACATAATAGTTGTGAGTTGTAGAAAATAAGTAGAAGTGAAAGAGATGAAAGTTTCAGATGATTTCGTTTTGGAGATAATAGGTATTTATAATACCTCTAGGAGTCTGTTGGAATTAACAGGCTCATCTCTTCATAACATGCACCTTTTAAAACCAATAGTCACCTTCTTTTGAATTTACGAGAAAGATGTTAAAAATATTTTCTGAAATTAAAAGGCTAAAACATTTTAATTAATCGAATAATGGGTGACTAAAATATTAATTCGGGCTACTTAGTTGGCCCAAAGCCCAAGTGCCCAAGTGCCCAATCTTGACTATTAATAATATAATCAAATTCCAATTTCCTTCCAAAACACCCTCAAAACATTCAAATTATATAAGACAAGTAAGTGCTTTTAAAGTCTTCTTCCTTTCTTTCTTTTTCCAATGAGGGACAAAACAACCTCTTCTCAAATACTCCCATCAAACATTAACTAATCTAACAATCCGTCACTTAGTTAGTGTTTGATGTTGTTTATGAGATTCATGCATATAGTAGGTATCTTTCGATTTAAACCTACTACTAGTATAAACTATTCAAGACCTTGTAGAATTTGATGGTTAGATTAAGTTCTATTAAAGCACATTCTTATATGACAAGACGGAAAAGCTTAATACACATAAATCGTACCAACTCGACAACTTGTTCACCGTGAGTTTTAGCACCCGATTATGGCCTTGTGCTACTTCCTGAATTCATAAACACTTATCAAGTTTTGTGTTCGAAACTTTGATTGAAGCGACACCACTTCTTGTATTTACATAGGTGAAGATTTAACCAAGTCCTTAATACGGACTTCTTTAGTTCCCAAACAGAACTCTGCTTCTTCATTAAGAGTATTTTTATACTCATCCTCCTTTTACAACAACAACTACCCAGTAAAATCCCACAAAGTGGGGTCTGGGGAGGGTAATGTGTACCCATACCTTACCCCTACCCCGATAGGGCAGAGAGACTGTTTCCGATAGACCCTCGGCTCAGAAAGACGGAAATAAAAAAACAAGAAAAGATAATTCATTAGTAACTCTAGTAGAAACCGTAATAGTAACCGAAGCATAACAACCAAAAGATAAATGACATGCAATAACAGTGACCAGTATCTAAGGCCCGGGGCTAAGATAAACAGCAAGGATAGTGTGGACTCAACATAAACTGCAAGCCATCTAAGATCAACCCTAATCCAACCTCGCCTCACCCCGAGTATGAAGTAAGGAAAGCTCTACTATTCGCTAACCTACAGCCCTAATGCTTGACCTCCAGACCTTCCTATCAAGGGCCATGTCCTCGGAAATCTGCAGTCGTACCATGTCCTGCCTGATCACCTCTACCCAATACTTTTTAGGCCGTCCTCTACCTCTTCTCGTACCCACCACGGCCAACCGCTCACACCTCCTCACCGGAGCATCAAGGCTTCTCCTCCGCACGTGCCCGAACCATCTGAGCCTCGCTTCCCGCATCTTGTCATCCACAGGGGCCACGCCCTACTTCTTCCGAATATCTTCATTCCTAATCTTGTCTATCCTAATGTGCCCGCACATCCACCTTAGCATTCTCATCGCTGCTACCTTCATCCTCTGGATATGGGAGTTCTCAACCGGCCAACACTCTGCCCCATACAACATGGCCGGTCTAACCACAGCTCTATAAAACTTACCTTTGAGTATTGGTGGCACTTTCTTGTCACACAAGACTCCAGATGCAAGACTCCATTTCATCCAGCCCGCCCCTATGCGGTGAGTGACGTCCTCGTCGATCTCTCCGTCCCCCTGAATCACCGACCCAAGGTACTTGAAGCTATCTCTCTTGGGGATGACCTATGATCCAAGCCTCACGTTCCTGTCTACCTCCCTCGACTCAGTGCTAAACTTGCACTCCAGGTACTCTGTCTTAGACCTGCTCAATTTGAAACCCTTAGACTCGAGGGTCTGTCTCCAAACCTCTAACCTCTCGTTAACACCGTCCCTCGTCTCATCAATTAGAACTATGTCATCAGCAAATAACATACACCATGGCACATCCCCTTGAATATACTCATCCTACTTTTCTAGGTACTAATTTCCAGTACCTGCTATCCATCACAACTATAACTTGTTATAACAGAATATGGGACAAAATAATTAGGCCTGAATAGTGTAGTCACTGTCCTTAAGGAATTTAAGCCTCCCAATTTCGTTGCTCCAGGGATTATGGCAGAATTCTTCCAGGATTCTACAAAGCCTCTAAAATCAGAATTTCAGCAATTAACTCGAATTTTTCATAAAAATAAAATAATTATGAGTTGTAGAAAATAAGTAGAAGAGAAAGAGATGAAAGTTTCAAATGATTTCGTTTTGGAGATGATATAGGTATTTATAATACCTCTAGGAGTATGTTGGAATTAACATACTCATCTCTTCATAACAGGCACCTTTTAAAACCAATAGTCACCTTCTTTTGAATTTAAAAGAAAGATGTTAAAAATGTTTTCTGAAA